GCTCAACACTACTAATAATGTTTACTTCATTGTAGAAATCTGCTGCTCTATGTTTGTTGTTAAAGAAAAGCCTCTTTACAGCAATTTCTCTTCCACCTAGCAACACTCCCTGCAATAACAAAATTCTTTAGCTTAGACATCAATCTACAACAGTGCTCTTCAATTCCCAAATCTGGATGAATGACCTTATACACTGCCAAATCCACCTTGCCCAAGCTTGTTGGCTTCATCAAAAGAACCAGTTGCCTTCTCAAGTGTGGAATATTTGAAGTTCAAGCAGCTATCATAAAGGGGCTTCACGAGTTTCTCTGCATCACCTGTTGATGCTTAACGTAATCTTTTAGTGAAGAAAGGTGCAAAGTGATGAAAAGCTAAGGTGCACTTGTCATCATGCTTATATAGGCAAAATGCATTCTACCTTTTTTCTTCTTCTGTATTGTTCTGCGCTTCCAGATATAAACTCCAACGACTGCTCCAATAACCAAAACAGCTATTGAACTAACAGTAGCCACTATAATGATTGTTATTTTCCCTGAAGAAGTCAGTTGAAAAGGCATGATTTGGCTATATTAATATAAAATTAAAGTTTTACTTCTTAAGACACAATAAAAGTTTCTAAAACTCAAAAGAGGGAAGAAACACAAAGAAAAGGAATGGAAGAAGAAAGCTCAACCTCGAAATGGTTGTAATTTGTTCAAATTATAACAATGAGAATTAACAGTCCCATTCTCCTGCACGCCGCGCGCAAGAGAAGGTTTTAAGCTTTGTCTTGCATGAGATTTTCATGCAAGGCAAAGCTTTTAAATAAAGCAAGGCCTGTTGTGGTTGGCAGGCCTTGCTTTATTTAATGTGGTTGTCAGCCTGGTTGTCAGAATGTCAGCGGCTGACAACCTTATTTTATTTTATTTTTTGTCTTTTGTTATTATTATTATTTTTTTTTTTTGGTCTTTCAATTATTTTGTTTAGTATTTTTTATATTTTGGTCTTTTTGTAAATGTATTATTTTTGTCTTTTATTTTGCATTAATAATTT